GGTCAAAGTTGTTGGTATCCAAAGGAAGGTCTTGTCACAATGATTTCACATGTAAAGTACGAAAGCCCTATCCCAACTGATCAAAAGTTATGACCAAGGTTTTTTTTCAAAAGTAGGTCAAACTCCAAGGTCAATGTCAAAGGGTCAAAGTTGTTGATATTCGAAGGAAGGTCTTGTCACAAGGTACACACATGTGAAGATTGAAAGCCCTAGCACCAATTATTCAAAAGTTATGGCCAATGATAAGGTTTTGGAAAAGTATGTCAATCTCCAAGGTCAAGGTCAAAGGGTCAAAGTTGATGGTATCCGAAGGAAGGTCTTGCCACAAGGATTATATATGTGAAGTCTGAAAGTCCTAGCACTAATCGTTCAAAAGTTATGGCCAAGGTTAAAGTTTTGCAAAAGTAGGTCAAACTCCAAGGTCAAAGGGTCAAAGTTGTTGGTATCCAAAGGAAGGTCTTGTCACAATGATTTCACATGTAAAGTATGAAAGCCCTATCGCCAACTGATCAAAAGTTATGACCAAGGTTAAAGTTTTTTTTTTCAAAAGTAGGTCAAACTCCAAGGTCAATGTCAAAGGGTCAAAGTTGTTGATATTCGAAGGAAGGTCTTGTCACAAGGTACACACATGTGAAGATTGAAAGCCCTAGCACCAACTATTCAAAAGTTATGGCCAATGTTAAAGTCTGGAAAAATTTAGCAAAAGTGAGTCAAACTCCAAGGTCAAATTTTATGGTACCCAAAGAAAGGTCTTGTCACAAGGAATACACATGTGAAATATGAAAGTCATAGCTCCAACCACTCAAAAGTTATGGGCAAGGTTAAAGTTTTTGCGGACAAACAGACAGACAGACAGGCAGACGGACGGACAGAGCAAAAACTATATGAATATATAAAAATAATGGCTTTAAAATGGGATGAAACATGTTAGTCAAAATATGACCCAATCATACAGCTGTAGGTTATATTTGCAAACAAGGTCATTTTAACGACTATAGAATAAGCTAAAATTAACTTTAAACCCCAATTTTACGTTAATTCCCCTATAATCTATCTAATTCAAGATCAAAACTTTTCCAGTTGTCGATCAAGCAAAAAACAATTTAGTAACTGATTTAATAAACAGGCAAGCTTCCTGTGCTACCTGATGTTCTGAGATTGGATGCTTTGATAACAATTACCTGACCACTCTTCAAGCTCCTTTATGTACCCCCAAATCTGTGGCTTGTTTTCAGTATTTATATTCTTTCATTTTATACTACTCTTCCTTACTTGACCTTGTATTCTGTATATTTGTAAATGTGCTCATACCTCGTATACCATTGTACGGTCTGAGAGTAATAAACAAACAAACAGAATAAGATCATCAAGTAATACCGCAACTGGGAAGATTTTGATCCCCCAAATTAAAATAAAGTAACAAGTTAAATAACAAAATGGAATAAAAATAATTGAGAGAAAAAAGTGGAAAAACTGACAGCATAAATAGTATAAATTCATTTTGAAAATTTTTAAAGATTCTTTTATCACATGTTTAACGGATACATAAAAACATCAGTCAATAGTAAACTTATAAAAAAGTAGGCTGAGGTTTATTTTTAAACGTGCATAACCTTTTGGTGACATTCTCTATTTTATCTTTAAAATAAATAAATAAATAAATAAAAAAATAAATAAATAAATAAATAAAAAAATAAATAAATAAATAAAAAAATAAATAAATAAATAAATAAATAAACACTGTACATGCAGCGTTTAAAAAATGTCAAGTACGATCACATTTCGAATTTCCTCTGTAATCTTTGTTCGTAAATGGACATCATAGGACCAATGTTGGCCAGAGAAATGAAGAATTTTCTGATGGCTAATCTCCTCACAAGGAAGGAAACTTTTTTCAACTCTATATCATCCTCACAATGTCAAGGTTTTGTGATTTTAGAGGTCCGAAATCACAAAACCTTGACATTGTGAGGATGCCTCTATACTTGATAAGTATTTATTTCGTTTACTGAAAACTAAAATATATCATTGATATGATAGTTCAGTAGTTTACAATCTCAATTTTTCAATCTATTATTTTCTTTTAAAAATGTCCATAAAAATATTGAGTTTACAATTTTTTAAGATAGAAAATAGTTATGTTGTTAAATCAAAATTTGACAAGAAACGTGTATGATGTTGACTCTTATTACCAAAGCAAGACTTCCTGTGTGATGCAATATGTATAAGATGGAATTTTGGCATCTTGAGTTTAAGTTCCTCCAGGTAAATAACACCTGTAGAATAAGACCACTCTCTCTCCTCAGGTAACCGAACGGTAAAATATTGGATCTTTAAACGAAATTGTTAAAAGCCTTGTAAAATCAACTTATTTATCAGTAGCTCTTCGGTTTACAAATTGATCGTACTCCAAACAACTTTTGTGTATCGAATCAATTATGAGATTTAAACACTATATAAATGTGTTAGTGGAATATTACTACATAAATGGTAGTAGTTGACGATGGAAACACTTAAGTCATCCCGTTTGTTTGTAGCTTAGTTGTTAGTTGGCCGTTAATGTCTACAGCCAGTAAAACATCCAAATAAGAAACAAATGTGGTAGACTCTCTGTTGTCTTTTACTTCGAGTTCACTGGAATAATGTAGTCAACATATGAATGAAATTAACAATAGTTAATGATAAAACGTCATCGATATTTCTAAATGTTGAATTGAAGGCCATAGCAGAAGTTTTCTTCTTTTTTAGAGAAGATTTTGAATACATTCTGTTTCATAGGAATAATATAAACTAGAGTGTTCCAAAGTACGCATGTTTCCCCTGCTTCATAAGTTCATAGCATCAGTAAAGGTGTAAATGAATATAAGAATGGTCAGCTATTTATTTGCCTGCAAAGAAAAAAAATCATCCACGGATAGAAAGACTTCGATAAAATGACAATTATCGCATAAAATTAAAATTATATGATATAAAATGTAACAAATAAATAAAAATATGATTCCCAAGACTCCAAAGTTAAAATGAATGATGAAATTGAAATTACATTGTATTAGAAATTTGATAGAATGGCAATTATCATATAAAATTAAAATTAAATAATATAAAATGTAACAAATAAATAAAAATATTCCCAAACTCTCAAGGCTAAAATGAATGATGAAATTGAAATTAGTAGAAAATTCGATAGAATAGCAATTATCATATAAAATTAAAATTATATAATATAAAATGTGACAAGTAAATAAAAATATGATTCTTAAACGCTCAAAGCTAAACTGAATGATGAAATTGAAATTATAAGATATAATTATCCCCCAACAATCCCCTAGATTCGTGACTGGAGATTTCAGTCTTTTTTCCTGCAATTATCAGTCTACAGCTTTATTCGAAGTGCGATCATTTTGGTATACCGATCCCAATACATTTTCATAGCATGTATGGTAACTGTATATTAAACATTTAAAAGGTACAGTATCGTGAGATCAAAAACATGTTATATATATGCAAGTTATCAAAACTCTGCCTCTCAAAATATATATATCGGTGGCCTATTTTTTTTTTCTTTTGACAAACCAGGGTTAAAAAAAAAAAAGTGTCCTTTTATTGAGGTAATAAGGATAATGTAATGATTAAGGTTTGTTAGCAATCAAGGAATAAAATCATTTGCGATAATTTACATTCACGTTTTCAAAAATATGTATGGGATTTTTCGTCTTATTTAAAATTCATCATTATTCATTTAATTGCCACCAAATTAAAAATATATATATACACTATTCCATCTTCGAGAGATCTATTTTTTTTTTCAATGTTAAACTCTGGCAGAACACAAATATTTAAACATATATTTACATTTTGTCAATAAGAACCACAATAGTAAAATCCGAGAACTATGCAGGCCCCTAGCAACGGTTTCAAAAGTGGGGGGTTGGAACCCCCCCCCCCAAAAAAAAAACTGACAAGGTGCTCGACCTTACACAACAAAATGTGTGTGTGTGGAAGGGGGGGAGGGCAACCAGCATCTAAAGAAAAATTTACTATAGCAAAATATTATACTCCGAAAAAAGTGTGTGTGTGTGGGGGGGGGGGGGGGTCTACGGGTCTGCTATGTACCTTCATAATCGCATCACGTTTCTTTGCGTCCATATTTGGTGTGGCCAACATCGATTAGAGAGACAGAGACAAGAGGGGGAAGTGTTGACAACAAAAAGTTTAATAATTAATTTTATGAAGTATTCATACTTTTATAAGGATCAAGCTTATGAGGATAACAACCGACTTGGAAGCGTCTACTAAGCACTTCACCACTGGTGCAAATCATCAGCCCCCCCCCCCCCCCCCCCCCCCCCCCCCCGCTGGCTAATACTTTATACACACCAAAAATAGGCACATCCCCAAAGATGCTGTCGGATCTTAAAAATACACTGTACGCTTTAATTTTATGCTTTGCTAAAAATACAAATGAACATATTTGATCAGTTCAAAGACGTTTCCTTATTAATAGTAATGTTTATTACACTTATCATAACGCACATTATGTCCATTTCATGTATTTCATGTACTTAACATAATGTGATTTCAAAATTTATTTTTTTTTTATTTTTGCACTCTAAAAATTAAAAGCTGATAAGGTTTCAAGTAATTCTGTTTAATGTACTTTACAATCCGCCTACTTGATCGAGGTTCATTGTCAAACTTCTAAAATGTCTGAAATTTTAAATCAAGCATACAATTCTCAGAATATTTAAAACATTTGAAAAGTGCATTTCTATTAGAAACACAATTCATTTGTAACCAGCACCTATTGACACAATCCTGCTAAAGTCGACATTAATGTATTGTATAATAACAGTACATTACATATATATATAGCTACAATAGATTCTGATCTGGCAAATCCTAAATACTCAACATTGCAAAATTTAAAAAAAATTACTGATTATAATATTTTCAAAGTCAATGAACAGAACTGTATTTAAAGATTAATGAACACAATAGAATTTGAATTTTTGTACCGTTTTAATCAGATACTAATAACACATATTCCATAAATATCTGGCAACTCTCTCACTCACTCGTCTCAATGTAACAACATGTCCTCGTAATTACACAAAATTCTATAAATCACCTAACACTCAAAAAGCAATTAAAATGTAAAGTGGAAAATGTGTTTTTATCTGATGATTTACATAATATTATTTCATACAGCCACACATACTGCCCTTTTACTTGGTTGTTTCTTTAAAAAATATGCATCTTGCAAGATGCTTGCATGAAAGTTTAATTTAAATGTCTGCATATCTTTCTCAATTATGCTTCCTAAAATATTTTTTTTTTAGAAAAATGATGTCATTTGACATTTGTCCCCCTTCTTTCTTCTACAATAATATTTAAATTTTCATGTTCAAAACAGTAAATGAAGATTTTCACTTCACTCCAATTTCTGTTTTTAGTTATAAATCTTCCGACATAATGTTTAAGAACAAATGTTGAATGATTGGTCACTTGATGAGTTGGTCACTCCGCCTCACTTTAGTAATGACCACTTGATCTGCTCTTTTGCACTCTGTAGGACCTGAAAATAAAACAAAGACTTCATCAAAGTACCAGCAAATGCAGCACTACATGTGTATCGCACACAACTTTAAACAGCTTAACACAAGAAAACGTGAAACTCATAGATAAAACATGTGTGGCAGTGCAAGATATATCTTGCACAAATTTTTTTCAAATACAGATCATATGGTTTAGTATAGAATAATTCAAAAAAGATATGTAAAAAAAAAATGGCATAATATGTATATGTATAAGATAATGTGTTATTGCAAACTTGTAAGACCAATTAAGGACAGGTGCAAAGCATACTATGACCATCTACACAAGCATGCATATTATTTTGGAAGGAAAAAAAATCCCTCCACAAGGTACTTCTAGGAAGCTTTTAAATAAACATCAGATGGCAGTACTAACACTGGCCTGTATTTATAAGGACTACAAATCAGTACAGAGGTGTACTCTGGTTTGCTTTTTTTTTTTTTTATTTCATAAGTGCATACAAAAATAATCAATCCATGATCTTTTGATAAATGATAATTAATCAATTTTTTTCTTCTCAGAAATTCCCCAAGAAGCATGAATTATTAATTCCATAAAAACTATCAGATTTCTAAAATCAATGTGATGGAATTTGTCAAAGGTTCTTCAACAGCACCTTGTTGTGTATGCATGGCATTGGCTTATTCCATGGCCTTGTCATATCTAATGTAAAATAACTGCCATCTTAAATAGTGCTTTCAACAGTTTTGACATAAATCAAATTACCATATATTCACCTTGATTAAAAGTTCAATTCCTATATGTGTCAAAACAGTCTTTAGTTTGCATGCTAAATATCTTTATAAAACATTAACCATGAAGAACGACGAGCCATTGTAAGACCACCGTGATCAACCAAGAACAAAATAAGTAGAACACAGACAAGAAAAATTAATATCATCAAGTCCCAAGTATTTAGCCAGTTCTGTAAGTCCAGTTATAGAGTGATTTGTACTGTATACAAGGAAAGTTTTGCCCTTTTTGCCCTTGTCACAATTGGACAAATTTAAAATGAAAACAGTCTTTAGTTTGCATGCTAAATATCTTTATAAAACATTAACCATGAAGAACGACGAGCCATTGTAAGACCACCGTGATCAACCAAGAACAAAATAAGTAGAACACAGACAAGAAAAATTAATATCATCAAGTCCCAAGCATTTAGCCAGTTCTGTAAGTCCAGTTATAGAGTGATTTGTACTGTATACAAGGAAAGTTTTGCCCTTTTTGCCCTTGTCACAATTGGACAAATTTAAAATGAGGTGATTTTAAAGAAGACTAATTTATTTCTTTAAAAAAAATGAATTCGGGTGAATTTCAAACAGGTCTAAATTGTTTGCAAGTGAGATAAGCCTAAGGCAAAAATAACATGTAATTTCAATGGCTACACCATTTCAAGTGAATGTTTAAAAGGACATAATGCCTCAAATGGAATGATGAAAGAACAGACACCTTATAGGACCAAGCAAAGGACATGTAACCTGGCTGAAACTTGAAAAGACCAATGATAGATCAAGTCTCCTCAAACACACCAAACCATGTGGATCAAGGAACAAACAAGTCCCTTCAAACATGAAAAAAAATGGTCTCGTTACCTCAAGTGACCAAGTATAGGACATGTGATCTATGACCTCAACAGACCAAAATTAATTAAATACACTCAAATTGAATAAAATAAAGTGCAAGTCACTATTACAGAACTAAATAATGGAAATATCACCTCAAATAAATCCCATTATGAACATTTTATTTCAAATGTACTAAAAAATAACAGGTCATCCAAAACTTAAAGTCTTACCATCTTAACTGAATCAAAGAGTCCAGCTAGATATCAAAAACACAACAAGCTAATTCAGGATATTTGTGGGGGAAGGGGGAAGACCTGAAAGAAATGCAGATGGAGAAAGAAGAAAAAAGTCGACCATGACCTTTCAGCTTTTGGCCTTGAAGTCAATAGAGGTCTTTTTTAAGTTAAAGAAATTCATGACCTTAAATTTAATACATGTATACTTAGTTTTCAGACTATGCAATGTATGAATTTCTGACCTTGACCTTTTGACCTCAAAATCAATAGGGATCTTCCAAAGGGAATTATGATGTAAAATTTCACTGCAAAATGTCAACCCAAATTTCAGCAAAAGTGGGGAATAAAAACAAGCCTATTTTATATCACAAGAAACAAAAATAAAGAGCAAGTCATGTCAAAGGAACAAACCAAATATCAAATATCATCTCAAAAATATCGATTAACAGTTTCAATAATTCATAACAAGTGACTTGTGTAGAATTATTGTATAAGAAACCTTTTTCTTTCTATGTAACAAGACTTTTCATTGGTTAACAAGCCAGGTATAAACTTCGATACACCCAGCTTGAGCTGCACGTAAAAGATGTGACATCACAAAGAATTGTCTCTCTACATGCTGGCGATGGAGGGCTGCACATTTAGACCTGTACTCGGACTTATGACATTTGAGCAGTGAGGGTCTATTTCTTGCCAGCACCTACTGCGACACAAGACCTCAAGGTCTCATCCAAAGGACCAGTCTCTGTGTCACACAGTGGATTCGAACCTGCTACGCAAAGATCCACTCCTTACTCCATGACTCTAGAGCAAACGCTCTAACCACTGTGCCACATAGGCGACCAAATAATAAACTGAGAAAATAAATAAAATAATCATCAAATTCAAAACTTCTTTAAGAAATTCTTCAAATTCAATAAAATTAGTAAATTTCTTTTTTCTTTCGAGAATTCAACTATTACAAACACTGTCTTTATAGCTGGCTTCACGACTTGCAAGAGCTTCAAGGCTTACAAGAAAGGGTTTGCATGAAACGCTATATGTTTTATAAAGATAAATTCATTATCCAGGTTCAGTCAAGGGCAATCAGGGTGTATGGAATACAACCTGTTGTGAATCCCTTACTCCCTTGATCGAACCAAGATAACTAATAGTATTCATAACTAACACATAATAATTTCAATTAACCAACTAAAATCAGTATCAAGGGAAAAATCATTTTTTTAAAGTCTGTTTAATGGCCATGAAAAACATGGGATTTGTTAGATTACTGCCTACATTTAATTAATTAACTATATAAATGAATAATGTTGCATCATTTTTTTAGCAATCAGAAAGTGTGATACTCTTCCATGAAGCTGAATTAATAATTTTTGTGTTTTATAACAATAGAAATAATTAAAAATGCTTAACGAGTTGTATCATAAATTAGTCATTAAGCAGAATAAATGAGATTTTCTCCCTTAATTACTCTAAGGAGGTCGCTTGTGTGGTGTAAATTTTTAACTGTAATTTCCTGCCTTCAAACTGGGTCATTAATTATCTGCGGTGGAATACAAGTCTTTTATTTACATATTAGAGTAAGACTGATTATATACTACATAAACTGCTGACAGAAACTCAACCCCACAGACAGTTTCTAGTCACTGGTGACAAATTCTTAAAAGTCCCCTCACTGTGTCACCATTCCAGCTCCTCATCTAATTTGTTCCTCTTATGGGGAGAAATCATACTAAAAGTCAGCAGCTCTATGTGAGAGATTTGTTACTTAAGTGTTCTAAATTAGATATTAAGTTGTGTTCATTAAGATTTTTTGTTAGATGAGATTTTTTTAAGCTGAGGTTTCCTTTAGCCTTGGTTGTGTGGGTAATGATCTCATTTCAAACACAGAATCATTATTGTTTGTGCATGTCCTGTCTCCTCAACAAAATGACTCCACAAACTACCGCAAAAAATCAACTTTTTAAACTATAATTATATTTAAAATGGATGGTCTTGTACGCAAAATTTCTAGGCACTGTTATCTTTAGGATGAGCAATAGTCTCCCGTTACAAACACTGGGCAAATCATGAAGAAGACACAATGATTCATTCCTTAAGATTCTTACCACTCATAAGGATAATGAATTCACTCAATATCGGACAATAACCTCTACCTAAACAATTCATTTAGTAAATAGCTTCCTAATATCTGGTTAATGAATCTGATTAGTTAAAAAGCACCATACATTCAGTTGCCTGGTTCACTGAAATGTATATTCTAACCACTTTCACCCTATGGCAAATCATCGATGTAGAGAACAGTATCAATTTAATAGTAACATGATTCAAGGAGGATTGTAATAAAAATCTTTTGAATGAGGGAAAGATACAAATTACCTTGAAAATTTGATTCCTATATAAATCTATATTGTTAGGCCATTATTTACACACTGAATTGTCTATGTATTTTTTCGTTTTTCCAGATGATGACAAGGAGCACACGGAGGGTGTGACCAGTTGGCTTGGGATGCTCACTCCTCCATGGCACCTGATCCCACCTCCGATGTTTTTGGAGGTCCATGTTTGCTCTGCTCCCGATATGTATTGTCTTGAAATACTGTTCGTTATCTCCATATCTCACTAAAAAAAGTCTAATATAAATTTCAAATGTTTCACTGAGCGGTCATAAAAAAATTGATGTTTGATCGCAGAGTGATATATTGGACCTGTCCATGAGATATTGCACTGCTTATGTCACACTGTGGGTGGGATCAGCTAAATCATATCTGCATTTGTTAGTGTTCGATAGTGACAAAACTGACCAAGTTTTACTGAGTGGGGGTAAAGGAAATTTATATCATGGAAGCCAGCATGAGATACATTATGTCAAAATAAATAAATAAAAGGTATAACAAACATTTATTGACTGTTTTGTCAGACCCAAGAACCAAACTGTTTGCCTAAGGCTGTTAGGCCGAAGGCAATCAGTTTGGTTTGAGGGGTCAACAATGATCAGTACTGGTTGCAGCTTAGATTAGTAACTCCAGTGCATGCAAAGGTAACTCTCAGTTTCTAGAACAACTTTCTAAGGAATTCACATTCATACAGATATAAAAATCATATTTTTGATCATTGATCACATCAACAAGTCAGCAAATATATACATATCTTCACAATACAATACTATGCAAATTGACTAGTATTGTCCAAGCAAAGTAACCCCACTGAGCAGAATTACATGAACAACTCTTTGGCTGGACAATAATGGACATGCCTAAAATTCAGACTACTGCAACATAACAGGATGTTAGTCCTGAAAGTAACCCCAACTCTAGATGTTAAAGTAACTTGTATTTCTACTGGGCAAGGACAAATGCATTACATGTATTGTACTTTACATTAAGAAAAACATTCTGAAGATGAAATAGGAAATACTTTATGGTGTGATCAGGAGAGTTACTGTTATTAGATCAAGAACATCAGAGACTGCATTACAACTAACTAGACAAATAAAATTTCCCAAAATACTGACAGATTTTTGGGCTTTTGAATAATGTCTGTAAGACCACCCAGTGGTTTAGTAAGTAAAAGATCTGAGTATTTTATTTGATTATTCATAGAAAATCACAGGTGCTCCTGTACAGTACCTCCCCTTTCAATCTGGTTAAATTTAATATACAGTACCCTGATCCTAGGGATTTTAATTATTTATTTTCCATAACTTCTTCTAGCATACTTCTATAATGTACTTAATATGAAAATTCCAAAAATAATGTAAACTAGATTTTTCATTCAATCATTGTGGATTTTTCTTATTATTCCACAAGCATAACAATTTTAATAAAATGGAGCGGTGGGGGTACTTGCTGTTTTTTAATCATTCAGTGGGGCCCTAAAATGTACTTCCATTGCTATATGAAATGAACCATTCTGTTCACCCAGCTAAGGTATGAAATACCACCACCAATATCCCAGCACTCACCTCTAGTTTTTTGTTAATCTGCTATGGCAGAGAATAAAAATACTCAAAGTTAGACTTCTAAGAGTACAGAAGATATTAACCTTCACCAGAGAAATTAAAGTTTAAAAAATAAAAGAAAATAATGTCATTTTGTGATTCTAGGAGTGATAAAATTGTTTTACAATTATGTATTAGTCTAAGGTTGAAGGTGTTCCCAAGCCAGTATTAATTTTCTTTTTTTTAAATTCCTTTTTTCCCCCTTCTCTAACCCGTTTATCATCAAATCATAATAACACTTTAATTATACAAAAGTTTGCTACAGATAGCAGTATTTGTCTTAACTGTAGGCGATTCACATATATCTTAAATAATGTGTTCCTTTGAAATACTCCAAAAGTAGCACTTATGGCATATAAAAACAAAAATTAATGTTTAAGATAACACTGCAAATTATACAAATTGTTACATAATGAGAAACTGGTTAATTAGACCAAATCTAAAGACAGAAATTTCACTTTACAAAATAAAATTTTAAGGCATGTTTAAGACTTTGTTGTGGATTCTGACAGCTTTCTTGTTATATTAGCTCCAAAAATACACAACCTACACATAAGTAGATAACTTTCTTATGCATTCAAGCAAAACAATTAACATGATTAAATGACAATTTGAATGAAATATTACAAAAGTGTCCGAGAACTAGTATATTATCCATATGGAAATTACTGCCCATTGCGCATCTACCTATTGCCCATGTGCTACATTTGCAAATTATTTATGAGAGAAAACATGCAGAATAAGTAGGACTCTTTGAAATACGGTGATATTTTGATATTTGACAATTTTATTCATAAGCATAAAGAAATATTGTTCTAGAACTGGTTACCAGCTCGCACAGAGAAGAGATCAAATGGTTTACTTTCATCTGTCTTTAAAACTTTGATTCCCCATTTTGAATAATGATCATTTCTGTTAATCATAGGGGTTGTAGTTACCAAATCCTTTTTCTTTTTCAACATTGTACATGTGTAAAATGATATGACAGAATATAGAATGTGGATTTCATTTCTGGTTTCATTGCTTAAGAAGGTATTTATCTAATTTATGTTTTAAGTCTCTTTTGACATATGATTTCATCATTGAAAAACCAATATAAGCTCTTAATTATTTAAAACATGCCTTTCTTTCAGAAAAAATGAAAAAAAAAATGTTTAAAGTGCTAATTAGACACAATCTTTTGAAATGAAATTGTGAAATTAAAAAAAAAAAATGCCAATTTTCTGTTTTACACCGATCCCGATAATCTAAAAAAATATTTTTCCCTGTAAAGAAATTCTTTGAATTCATATATATTTTTTCTATTGTTAAAGTGCCAATAGTATAAAAAGATGGGATAAGTATGTATTACTGATATCCTGACCCCCCTAAAAAAAACAAGACTTTCAATGCTACTATGTTTTTTGTTTTTATAATTTAAATATAAACATACAAATGTCAGAATGTCAAATCTGTTCCCAGACATTAAACTCTGCAAACTTCCTGATCATAAAACTACCCCCTTTCATTATTTCAGTGTAGCTGTACCTTAAAATTTATTAACTTTAATTAATGTCTACAAGTAAGGTATCCTAATTAGAGTATTTTACATATTTATCAATGGAAAGGCCATATGTAATTCTTTAAAAAATAATGCATCACCAACCATACTAAATAAACTTGTCATCCATTATAATTGTGGTATAAAATGTATTACACAACCTGACTTCTTTTACCAAATATATCAACTCATTAACATATAAAGTTATAAATAACAAGACCAATATATTAATATTTATATTAAAAGTTCATTAATAATGCAATGAAAAATTTGCCAAAATTTCATAAAATTTTTATACTGTAGCTGCTCCTGTGAAAGAGGGCCGTGAATTTCATCCTACAGCCTTCCTCAGCAATCAAAAACAAGTAAAGATGCAAATCTGTCCAAAAACTAGTTTCCAAAGTGCTTTGGCAAAGGATATGCACTTAACTAGACAATACAGTGCTTTCTGAATTTAATATTAGAAAGGTTTAGCAAACAAAACACGTAAATGTACATGAAGATAACGTACATGTACAATTCAGAATTACACATACATACATACATGTATATGTTTTATTTCTTACTTTTCTTGTTAAAGAATGTATAATCTGTAAATAAACTTGTAAATATTCTAAATGAAAAAGAATTTATCAATGGATAATTTAAGATCACATATGAAATTTATAATGCACATTACTTTTTAGAAATGAATATGCACAAATTGATATCAAATGATTTTTAAAAAAAACCAACAAACAGTATTACAACCTCCATCAACAAAGCATGTTTTTAAAATTAGGATGAGTGTCATCAGCACTCCATCAAATAATATTTTTCAATAAAAAACATGGTTCCTTTATATAAGTGTTACAGTTCACATTATATCATCAGGGTTAAGAAAAATAAACACTTTCATTGAAATAAATAGAGAATAAGAAAACGTAAATTGCAAGTTCACATTACAGGTATTATAGGTACTTGGTGATATACATGTAAGTAAATACTTGAACAAATTAGTCATTAGCAAAAATAATGCACAGATTAATGGGGGTGTGGAGGGTGGGGGAGGGTGTCCTCTAAAATATGTCAAAGTACACACAGGTCTGTTTGCTAAACCTATCTATTATTTAATATCAGGACTCTTCATTTTCAAGCATTTCACATGGTTGACTAGTGCAATGACCTTGCAGAGCCTAGTTATTCATCCATGCTTCATTTGCATCTTGTTTATATATAAAAATTCTTTGAAGAATGTATTTTTTTCTGTAATGTACAGGTGTTAATGATCTTCCCAATTCTCAGGTGAGTTCTTCATCACAACAAAACTATACATCAACCCAATTCTCCAATCAGTTCAAAATTCAGGTGAAAGGTTAGTCAGATAGCTTATTTTTCTCTGTTGTAGTGAATTAAGCACTAATTAATCATTAATATATGACATAGATTAAATTACCTGGGCCACCGTTTGTTCTCCAAGGGGGGCATCATCATTTCTAATGGAGACTTTCTGCACTATTGAAGAAGCATCAGAATCTAAGATAATTCTAAAAAAAAAAATAAAAGAGCATATTCAAAATGTTCAAGTTGTCATCATTAGAATTAAGATTTTATTTCTGCAGTGGTGGTAGAAATTCCCATTCCCCAGTCTCCAAAACAATAATGACTAGTATCAGTGAAACTTATTTTCTTTTACAAGCTACACATTTTATCTAAGAATTTCGTATGACAATTTTATGTGATACACGTATATATACTATTTCTATGCTATAAGACTATATTAGTATTTCATACATGTAATCTACATAATTCATGACAACATCACTAGTGGCTAAGAAATAAATAGTCTCACAAGTTTGGTAACTCCTACAAGTGTCAACCTTTACCTCCCCAATATGAGAAATTTTTAAAGTATACAACAAATAATATTCATTAAAGTCTATGGAATTTCTCAGAAAATGCACTGACATAGGTTTCATAAGTTTGCAGTAATTTTTATCAGTGATCATGTCTTCAGAAATCAAAACAAAAATCTAAACAACTTTAACTGCTATTACTACTACCATAATTACTAAACTTGTCTCATTTTTTTATGCAATTCTGCCTTATCTAAATTGATTCTGGTCAACCCAAATTACTAACAAGAGGCCCATGGGCCACAGCGCTCACCTGAGTAACTTTGGCCTTGCTGTTTTTCACCTGATTTTTACTACATATTTTAAATGTATAGCTTGGATTCCCTATTGTGGCCCCACCCTACCCCCGGGGGTCATGATTTGAACAAATTAGAATCTACACTACTCAGCATGCTTCCTAAAAAGTTTCAGCCTTTCTGGACCAGTGGTTCTAGAGAAGAAGATTTTTAATGATTTTTACTGCATATTTCAAATGTAAAACTTGGATTCTCTATTGTGGCCCGGCCTACCCCCGGGGGTCATGATTTGAACAATTTAGAATCTACACTACCCCAGCATGCTTCCACATATGTTTCAGCTTTTCTGGCCCAGTGGTTCTTGAGAAGAAGATTTTTAAAGATTTTTACTACATATTTCAATGTAAAACTTGAATTCCCTATTGTGGCCCCATCCTATCCCTGAGGGTCATGATTTGAACAATTTAGAATCTACACTACCTCAGCATGCTTCTACATGTTTCAGCTTTTCTGGCCCAGCGGTTCTTGAGAAGAAGATTTTTTAATGACCCCACCCAATTTTAGCATTTTCTTGATTATCTCCCCTTTGAACGGGATTTGGCCCTTCATTTTAACAATTTAAACTCCCCTTCACCCAAGGATGCTTTGTACCAAGTTTGGTTAAAATTGGCCCAGTGGTTCTTGAGAAGAAGTCGAAAATGTGAAAAGTTTACAGACGGACGGACGATGGACAACGGGTGATCAGAAACGCTCACTTGAGCTTTCAGCTCAAGTGAGCTAAAAACAACTATTTCTCCAGAGAAGTACATGCACTTGAAGAACAGAAATTTATTTAGTTATTCTCTATCCACGTTTAGTAGTATCAACACGTCTTACCTTTCTATATCATGTATATTGGTCATAACTATATACAGTATTAAACAGGCTTAGAGCAAAGTGCCAGGGATGACCAATTCTAATTGGCTATTAAATGTAATTCGATATATATCAATTAAGTGTAAAATATGTTTTAAAATCAAATCACTTTGCTATTAATGTGACTTCATTATTAGCGTGTTTGCTGTAACCGTGTTTTTTTTTTTTACTTCATTATTAGCGTGTTTGCTGTAACCGTGTTTTTTTTTTTACTTCATTATTAGTGTGTTTGCTGTAACCGTGTTTTTTTTTTTACTTCATTATTAGTGTGTTTGCTGTAACTGTGTTTTGCTGTAACCGTGTTTTGCTGTATCCATGTTTTGCTGTAGCTAAATTATCATACAGACTCACCCTCCATCACAGATTTCATCTACTACAAGAAATGCTGCATCAAGATTTTCCAGGAGCGATCTTTTTTCTACATTTTTACGGAGAATTTGGTTAATGGCATCATATAGACCATTCAATACACTTGCTAAGATCAACTGAAAAACAAAAAACCCTGAAGATTTATCAATAATCATCGGAAGAAAAGAATTTGGTTTGTTCCACATCAATGACATCTAAAATACAAGAAATTGTACATAATTGAACTGAAAACTTTTAGTGATAATATGAAAGTCATTCAAAGTGCATGTTTTTTTTTAATTCTGAATTTGTAAATACTTTAATAGTTTACCTCATTTTCTTGTGAACTACCAACAACATAAAAGAACAAATCCACATTACTTTTGTACACACATGTTAGACCCTCAAACATGATGATTTCAGCTGGAAAAATAAAGTAAAAAATTAACATCAGACCACACATGAATACCCCCACCCTTATTTCCTTATTTTTGTACACATGTAGCTTTATTACAATATAATGACTGATCCTTTAATACTTTAATAATAGAAAATAATTATACTGTAACATTTTGTACAATTAACAATGCAAAATTATGTGATATATCATCAGTAGCTTAATCTCTATAATTATGTAGCCCCAAACATATTGTGGGGGACATATTGTTTATGCATATACTTATGATTAGCATCATTAACTATATAAAATTAGCATGATTAGTGACACATTAACTATATGGATTCCTTACAATTGGCTTTGTGTGTTTTCCCAAACAGGTTCTTTTCAAACTGTTTCTGCTCTTTGGCTGTTGGAAACTGGTCATCATAGTACTGACAAGACAAAGTAAAACTTAAAGGGGGTTTTATCTATAGCAGGTGAACTCCCACTTCCCAAGTTACATATTAAGTCATGTTTATAAGTCATTGCTGTTTATACACCAGCACTTACTTTCGTTATCAATCTGTTTCCATCATTGTCTAAGATGGCAATGGCTTTCACAGCATACAAAGATGGTTCCTACAAGAAGACAAATACTATTAATAAAACTATTTCTTACTTACTGATATATACCATAAATGTCAGATATTAAGATACTCAGAAACAATCAACATGTTTATTCTGTCTGCCCTTTTTTCCCCTTGCTGCAAATTCTTCACCTCCCATGCTGATATTCAGAACTCTTGTTGCTGTTCATTTTGTATGTATAGATTACTTGCACATTTTTTGGATATTGCATGAAACACAGGACAAATTCTACGAAACCATTTTTTTTTCTTTCTGCATAAACTTTTTTTGGTGGTGGAAGTTGTTCTGTCCTTTTTTCATACAACTATGACAGTCCTTTGAAACAGATCATCTTTTGTTGAAGAACAAAAGGCTTTTTTTAAATACTTCTTTTTTTGCTAATGATTGGTATTTGAAATGGAAAGGGGGGGGGGGGTCCATACCCCAAATGCCTGTTGATTTATAATTTGATTTGGTGCATTTCAAAAACTCTGGCCTTAGAAAATTCCATTATTAAAATGATATTGTCCTACACAGTTGGTTTAACAGTAGAGTTCATTCAGTATGTTGAAAAATGTAGCAAATTAAGATGGATTATTCTAATTTTAGCATTATAAAGAACAATTCTGAGAGTTCAGAAAGTCAGTATGGTAGATAAATCTGAACCTTGAAAAAAAAATGCTGAGAAAATGTGTTAATTTTTTTTTTTGAATTTATTTATTCATTTATTTATTTTGCTGGAAGGAGCACACTAGCTAAAAAAGGTTTTCTATGATGTATTTGGTACAGTTTATTTACAATGTCACTTCTTTGTGTTCCTTGAAATTGTGCTGAAGTGGATCTGCTCTGTTATGCAACACTGGGACAGTGATTGCCTGTCTCTGAAGTCTAAGGCATGTCCCAAGAGGCAAAGACTCTGCTAAATTATTCTAACTTCTGCACTTTAATCTTTGCTATAATTCATCCAAACATGAAAATTCTTGTCACAAATGACTACATAAGTGTGAACAACAAATAAGTACCAAATCTGATATCTGGCTCCAAGACCATAAACTGAGAACAGACTTCCGGTAAAAATTTGAAATTAGCATAGTTTTTAATATAAATTAAAGAATAAAACAAAATTTTCATCAATGTGTGAATTTTAAGAGCAAGCACAATGATCAGCGAAAAGCGCCGCTTGTCACTGCAAGTAATTAAAGCAACGCCAGGGCAAAGAGAAAATTTGGACTATCTGCACACGTTCCGGGCCGTTTTGCACACATTTGAATTTTAGGTATTGAAAAAATGTGTGCAAAACGGGAATTTGTCCAGGTAAGATAATTATTTAATTGCTATAGTCTATATCATAGTGGTGAATTTGGAGAAAGAGATTCTACGGAAAGAAAAGGGAAAAAAAATGTTAATTTTCCACTTGATACTTTGACTTATTTCTTAAAAACATTATTTTAAAACATAAAAAAATATCACAAATACCAATCAGAACTATAATTATATTCACATGATACTAACTTGAAGTGTTATTATTATATTTTTTTTTATGAATTAAGATTGAATTCATTTACTTATTCATTTTATCTTTATGAAATAAAGAAAAATGGTGAACTGCCATAGGGATATTTGTCTAAACCATCAACTTCATCTTCAGGTGGATAAGTAAAATTTTCCTAATGTATTCCCTTGAATATATATTATAATGCATTGGTAAAATACAGGTAATTCCAGGGAAATCCCAGGTGGAGATCAGACTATAATTGCTAACAAAACATATTTCACATATATTGTTCTATACCTAATTATCAGATGTGTGCAAAACAGGAACACACCCTGCACAGTGACCCAACAGTAAACTCAGAACCCATAATGCTCATAATTTTTGCAATTGGCACCCAAAAAATTTCTCGCAATAACCATGCAAGCAAAAGTTTACAAATAAAGTTATAAACAAACCTTGATTTGGTGGATATTGTTGAAATGTCTCATGTGATCTCATGTGGTTTGAAGAGGCAGATCTGAGCTTAAAGTGAATAGGGAGGCTATCCAATAATGTACATAAATACGCTTGACACAACAATTCCACCATCAACATATTATCAGGTCCGGCACAATCTCATGATTTAGCTATATAGCTTGGCTTAGCTATATAGCTTAAGTTATTCAGAATAGCTTGATTTAGTTATTTTAGCACACTTTTTTCTTATATGTGTTATTTTTTCAGCATGTACAAAAAGCATTTTTTTTTATGAAAAACTGCATAGAAATAGTTTTATCAAGCTTTTTTCTGAATAGCTTACTAAAGCTATATAGCAAAATCAAGCTATATAACTAAATCAAGAGATTGTGCTGGACCTGATTATTACACAAACTAATCCGAGATTCCTCCGACTCTAACCCCTGCTTTTATATTTTGACATGTGCAGGGGAGAGTCAGAGCGGAGGCCATATTGAAAAGTGGGAATTCAGCGACACCAGCTGGTATCGCGACTCTGCTTACCTTTTACAACTTTATTTCGTGGATCTAACTTCCGAGACGCGAGAACTCAGTAAAGGGATGATTCTTCTACAACTTATTCATCACTAATATGATGCTATCGCCATTTAAACGGCCCTATCACCAACAAATGAAGCATCACTTGAATTAGGTTGCCTCCTCGCCATTTGATTTCTTTGTGCATAACGTCAGCACACAAATACACAAACAAACTATCACATGAACAAATCATGTGTGGTGATGCTGCCAATTTTTTTCTCATATGACCATAGAGGCCACTTTCGACAGTTCTTTTCCTTATCAGTAAATAAATGTAACATCATTCTGTTGCTTTCTGTGCTTTTTCATCGCACTCTCATGTTTTTGCGAAAACTCCACACGTGTTTTGACCACGTGTTAGTTTGAAACCGATTAGAATTTTGTGTATTTGTGTGCTGACGTCATGCGCAAAGAAATCGAATGGCGAGGAGGCGACCTAATTCAAGTGATGCTTCATTTGTCGGTGATAGGGCCGTTTAAATGGCGATAGCATCATATTAGTGATGAATAAGTTGTAGAAGAATCATCCCTTTACTGAGTTCTCGCGTCTCGGAAGTTAGATCCGCGAAATAAAGTTGTAAAAGGTAGGCAGAGTCGCGATACCAGCTGGTGTCGCTGAATTCCCACTTTTCAATATGGCCACCGCTCTGACTCTCCCCTGCAACATGTCAAAATATAAAAGCAGGGGTTAGAGTCAGAGGAATCTCGGATTATACACAAACATGCAAGTTTTAAAACTTATCAGGTCCGGCACAATCTCTTGATTTAGCTATATAGCTTGAAAAAGCTATATAGCTTTATCAAGCTATTCAGAATAGCTTGATTTAGCTATTTTATCACACTTTTTTCTTAAATGTGTTATTTTCTCAGCATGCACAAAAAGTCGCACCTTGGTGCAGTGATAATATTCAACCTTGAACTCTTCTGAAAATAATGCATGTAAAAATCACTCATCAAATTACGTCTCCTTAAGAGACTTTGTACTCAAAGTTCTAAAAGTTTTGGGGCTATATAAAGCAATTGATACAGTTACTTCTTCATTGAAATTATAAAAGAGGCCAATTATGGTCAACAAGATAATTGATTGGTAATAATTCAGTACAATGAGAAGCAATCATACTTATCCACGTCTCAACGCACACAAGGTGGTGTACAGTTACTCAAACAATGGAAATTCATCTTTTGCTTAAAAGTATTCAAATGCTGCAATGTTAGAACTATCTTTGATTTAGGTGGTTGTTTTGATATCCCATAGTACATAAATGAATAGTCAAATACATGTGACTTTTTGTCTATTTCTTACAAAGCACATTTTTCTGAAAAACTGCACATAAATAGCTTTATCAAGCTATTTTGAATAACTTAATAAAGCTATATAGCTTTTTCAAGCTATATAGCTAAATCAAGAGATTGTGCTGGACCTGCTTATATGTTAAATAAAACCAAGGTATTCAAAATGTAAATTTTGGCTTCAATCTGTTCTCAGTTTATGGTCTTGGGGCTAGGATGCATTCTCCATTATTATTATACCCAGTGTTATTTATCTAAAGCATCTGTAACAATAAAACATCGACAATAAAGGGTCAAAGTTTGACCATTGTTGCGATTTAATCATAAATCATGCCACTTATTTTTCATTCGAATGTCATAAAATAATGTTTTAAAAGCCCTGAATTCCTTCAATTACCAAAATTCCTCCATCCATGATGTAAACACCGGCCTCTGATGTACGACTGTAGAGAAAACAAATTTGACGTGGAGTAGCTCAATGTCAATTTAACGCTTCAATTGCCCTCAGATTAAAGCCTTCATTTTTCCTTCCAGTTAAACATTTGAAAGACTTACAATATTTGCAGTAAATATAGCGTACTATATCATTTGTGGAAGTAAATCAATCTGTATAATTAATTTGTATTCTGATTTAATTATTCTAATGGTTCGTATACACGTCCCGACAACTTTAATACTCGGATTTATTTTTGATTTTGAGAAAATAATATTTTTCTCTGCGTTCCTCCCAAGCGAAAAATAAACTGGTTCTCAGCTCGGCTATTTCATTTATTATGATTTATATGAGAGATATACGTGCAAGAACCAGTTTACATCCAAAATGGCGCTCCACAAGAAGAAAGACGGTTCACCTAATGTTAAATTCTTTGAGACCGTTGAAACAATTGCACAATTTGATTCTGTGAGAACATGGCTAAACAAAAATTACAAAAAGGTAAATCAATATTGAGCCAGTTAATGGTGTATTTACAAATAAACTGAATACTCCATTCGGTTATCATATCCCTTTGTTCCGACACTTGCCGGTTCTGCTATTTACACAATAAAAGGCATAAAAAGCAAAATTGGAATGACTATGCCTGCGGGATTATATAATATTATCGCATCCCTTTGTCTTATAAATGTGGCCAGGGGTAGAAACTCCCTAAATATACATCTCGCAAAGAATTGCGATTAGATTCTACCAAAGAAAAAAATGGAATTCGCAATTTCACAAGACTACTCGCAATTTTAAATGAAAAGCCTTTTCACATTGAAATTTAAAGATCTTAAAGATTTACTACTGTAAAATACACAAAATACATGTTCAAATGCAGTCTCACTGTGTTTAATTCAAAGTATTCATTGATTTTGTACAACTGAAAACTAAAAATGGGAAGGGATGAACATTTTTTCCTGAGTTAAGTTACACTGTTGAAAATCAACTCACAATTTTTTGCGAGTTACCAAATTTTTAACTTGCAATTTGGATATTCTTACTAGCATTTTGCAATTTGTATATATTGAATTTCGAACCCTGGTGACAGGTTCATGTTTATTTTATGCTTTTTCTTAAATATTCCTGTAATAAATAGGTACATTTGATAGCAAAGATATATGTAACAGTGTGACCATTTGGTGAGCAGAGTTTACACAGCTTACACCACTTGTAACTATTATTGACCTCTTAAACTTCAAACTACACGAGACACTCTCCAGTCTGTGATGTCACATGACGTTGTATGTTAGTTGCATTATCTAAATAGTGAATTTTTTACAAACAATAGACATTGTGGAGTAGATACATCTTTTTATGCTCTCTGCAAGAAATAAATCTTCACGAAAATTGGGGGCCTTTCTTATTCACCATTATCACATTGAATCATGGTAGCAAAAGAATTCTTAGAAGGATTCACACAAAAATTTGCCTGACGAATGCAGAATTCAATTTTGAATTTCCTCTGTTCTTACAAATAGAGCCTGTTTCTTGAGCAGTGCTCGCTATTATAAGAGCTTTAAATTGTTCTCAAAAATATTCAAATTAAATATCAGTGTATACATTGCTATAATATCAACTGAGCAGTCATGCTTCTTGAACATGAATCATTCAGATCAGCATAATAAGTTGTCATTTCTATTTAATTGTGTTTTGTAAAGATTCTCAATGTTTTCTGCTTTTAATAACCTTACATGTACAGAATATTTTCACACTCTCTTCTGTTTCTATTGCAGTATACACAGGCAGATCCACCAACAAACAAAAACCTTGCAAGTCTAGTGTGTCAGCTTCTGCAGTTTATGGAGGATGCATTTGGTAAACAAGTCAGCAATCCAGCCTTGACCAAATTACCAGTATGTAAAGGCCAACTTTCTTTAAAAGTTTAAAATTCAGAAATATATTTTTATTGACTATCCAGCACTTATCCCATTATAAATTTTGCTACGTGTAAAATCATTATGATAACTATGGGACTAAAACCAGCAATCTTTCAATTTCAAGGAAAAAAATCAAACCACTGCACAAAATAGTGAACATATGCTTCCAGATTGCTTTTAATATTAAAGACTGAACTCTAGCGTAACCCATTAAACATGCTAATTATTTTGTAGATGAGATGTTTCCTTGACTTCAAGCCTGGTGGTTCTCTGTGTCATATCCTTGCTGCTGTCTACAAATTTAAGAGTGACCAAGGATGGTAAATCATGCTCTTTCATAAACTGAGCAAAATGTTAATAATATATACAATGATCTGACCTTACAACAAATTCAGTTGTACTTACTGAAATGGATACCCATTAAAAATCCAAATAAATGCACTCTTACTTACATCTGCTTCTTCAAACACATATTATACACAGTCAAAAAAGGTTTGGGAGCATTTGGCTAAGGCTTTGGCATCACAACATCATTTGTCAAATGTCAGATGTATTTCCATACAGAATTGTGAAGAGTCGTTTTTGAAGTAGACTTTTGTGTATAAGAACATGAAGTGATTTGCATGTTATTGTTTTAAACTGGCAGTAGATACATTAAACTTAAAAACTTTTGTAGGAGGAGGTTTGATTTTCAGTCACCATCTCGCATGGACAGGAATGTAGAGATGTTCTTACAGATTGAGAAGACACTGGTCCAGAACAAATGTCTGATCATGCCCATTATCTACATTATGACAGATATGGACAAGGTCATTCTCCCGAAACTCAAGGACATCATTAAACGACATCAGGGAACTATCACAGATGATGACGAGGAGGCTACTCATATTATACATGTTCTGCCATCACACCCACCAGCTGAGGGTATGTCAAAAAAAAAATCATTTTATAACAGAAAGCTTAATGTGGTGATGTAGAAATTGAATTGATATTACTAAGAAATTCCAATCAATTTATAAGACTTTGACAAAACTGTTGCAAAATCTGTTGCATTACCTGCCTGTTAAAAATTGAAATGTTCTGTTAAAATATAAATATATAAGCAGACATGGCAGAAGAAAATGACATACTTTTTGTAACACTTTATAGGTTTAATTTGTAAAGTGGCCCATTGAAGGTAATAAATATAAATCTTGGACTTTGTTACAGAGGAGTTTATTCGTCCTGTGATGAAGAGGGATCGTAATGCAATGATACACTGGTGGTACACTCCTGACAGTTATGATACTTGGGTCCCTGATGTATCTCCAGATCTGGAGATAGAAACACCTCAGCACACAGGGGCATGGGAGGTAAGGTTTGTTAATGAAAAATCACCGCAATACACAGGGGCATGGGAGGTAAGAAATCGCCTCAACACACGGAGGTTAGGATTGAAAATCACCTAAACACTGAGAGGTGTAGAAGATAAGTTAATATATACCTCAACTCACAGGGGTGTAGTGAATATAGTGAACAAGGTTATTGAATATTTTACTTATTGCACAAGGATGTAGGATTTTAGTGAATCTTACATCTCAATATGTGGGATTGAAGGAGGTTAGTGAATATACTCCTCAACACACAGGGGTCTTTGTGGTAAGAGAATTTACACCTCAACAGAAAACAACCTGCATGGTATAGGGACCTAGCTGGTTATTATATGCTGCACAACACACTGGGGCCTCAGAGGTTAGAAAATTAGGATAAGTAAATATACACCTCAACACACAGGGAAGCAAGTTTTTGTAAGTATACTCAACACACAGAGATTTGAAAGATTGGAATATACGTGTACATACTTCAAAATACGCATATAAATTTACACAAGCTACAAATAAAGCAACTTAGATGTCGGTAAATGCACACCAAACACGAAGGTCATTATGGTCATTACAAATGTAACACTCCTTCATTCTTGAGTAAGACGTTATTGTGTGTGTGTGTTTGCAGTCCTTTGCTCACCTGCCATAAATTTGGGTTGATAGTAAGAAAGATTTTTTTTTTCCAAAATAAGATGAAATCTTTCTTGACCCTGTTGTAAAACTTGCACTGCATACAATCATCTATGAGTCTTGGTTTACAGTTCATTTAGTATTGCATACATTGAGTTGATTTGACAATTTACATTTTTATTTGTTCTTGCAGGTGACAGCCCGTTGGTTGTTAGATCTAGAGGAGTACAATGAATGGATGAATGAGGAAGATTATCTGATAGAAGATGAGGTAAGTTTGGGAGAGGATCTTAAACGCACACAGACTTTTGATTGCGTATGGGGAATGGAACAACAAATACACATTTGAAAGTAGGATGTGGAATTTGCATGGTATTATTGCTCAGCAAATGTGGTAAAATTTTCATAAAAAGTTAAAATTTTCATTGCAGCCTGTTAAGTCTAAACATTCAACATGGGTATAGCATTGCTTTTTAAATTTCTCCAAAAAAAATTAGATTTGACATTGAGCATGCTTTCTGTTGAAGAAGGAATAACACACCCGGTAAAATGTTAGTGGACAGTTATCTTTTTATTTGAAACTTTGACATGTATCAATGTAATAATAATAAAAAATGTATTTTTTGGGAGTTGCTAAAAAAAAGGTTTTAAAGTATTAAAAGCATCAAACAGAATGTTATCCAAATGTTCATTCCTTTTGACTGCCATATTCCTTGTTGTGTTATTCACCCTTAGCTGTTTTTAGCTCACCTGAGCTGAATGCTCAGGTGAGCTTTTCTGATCGAAAAGTGTTTAGCATCTGTCTATCGTCTGTTACGTGATGTCTGTAAACTTTCACATTTTTGACTTCTTCTCAAGAACCACTTTGTCAGCCACTTTAAATCAAACTTGCCACAAAGCACAGTGAAGGGTATTCAAGTTGATTTACAGGAAGAGGAACATCCTCCTTCAAGGGGAGATAAAATTAAGAATTAGTGTAAATTTAATGGTATTTTTTTAAAAATCTTCTTTTCAAGAACCACTGGGCCAGAATAGATGAAACTTGTATAAAAGCTTCATTACATAGTGTAGATTCAAATTTGTTGGAATCATAAACTCTGGGATAGGGTGGGGCCACAACAAGGCATCAAAGTTTTACATAGGAATATACAGTGCCCACTGTGCAATCCGACAACTGTGCAATCCGGCACACTGGACTTTCCGACCTAATATTTTATTCCCAAAATTTTCTTTATAATTTATATAGAATAAAACACTGTATATTCCGACCACTGTACATTCCGAATTCCGGCGCTTTTTGTCAACAGAACTAGATAATTACCTTATGATTTCACCTGAGTAATCCGACACAATTACACTGGTGTACCGTATAATTAGCCGCTGGCCAGATAACGTGAATGTCCGGTTTGGTCACAAGATTGGTCTACTTAGAGAGTAGTTAATTACATGTACGAGTTTGAAAGTGTTTATGTAAGCAATTATAAACGAACAGTTTTTGAATTAAAAATTAGGCAATCATTTCTCTGTTGTTATATATATGTCCCTGTTGTTATCAATTTTATTCTCGCACTGAAAAAATAGCATCCACGCGACAGAAAATAAAAAGAGTACATGATGTTTAGATCGCCTTTACCTTACAGAATAAATAAGATTTTCAGCTTGAAATTAAAATCAAATATGCATTCACGGTCCTTCGTAAAACCATGTTATGAAAAAAAAAATGAGTACGGCGAACTACTGTGTAACACAATACACAATTTGAAAGGCAGCATCTTGTCGTATAGAAAACGCTTCATTTCCGGATTAATATACACTGAATCAAGCGAGGCTGTGTACATAAAAGATTCGCCGGAAGCAAAATATACCGTCTTCAGTTGCCCATTAAATTTAAAATATTACGTCTGTTTGATTAAAATTCAATCGCAATCACAGTTTTAGAGTTACGTTCCGTTTGTATGAAAAGTCGCGTGACGGTATTAATAGCACAGTCTATGTTGAGAAATAAACAATGGCGAAAATCTGTAGAAAAAAATACCACTGTGTAGAGAAGGTAGACGAAATATTTACTTTAATATCGACTGCCAGTAAGTAAAAATTAAATTGCAACATCTCGAAGCGATCGGCAGTTCCATGTTTTGGCCATTAAAAAAAAAAGAAAAACATCGTATATTACTACAAAGTACAGAGTTTACTAATGCTATATCACAAACGCTGTTTCTCAAAGAAATGCTAATCAGATCTATTTTATACAGCCAAAAAAAACACACAATTATGCAAACACTTTGACAATTAGATATAAGTGTATTCTTAACCTAACGATTTTTTTTTTGTATGAAGTCGTCTGACACATATGATAATGCTCAGAAATATTCAACACTGGGTAATCCGACACACTGCCTAATCCGACATTGATTTTATTTCCCGCAGCATGTCGGATAAGACAGGTTTCACTGTATAGGAAAAAACTTCTTCTCAAGCACAACAAAGCCATGATTAGTCTTATTAATATTGAAGCATCCTTTGGTAGTGTAGATTCAAGTTTGTTCAAATCATGACCCCCAGTTGGTAGGGTGGAACCACTTAAATATTTAAAATTTTCAAAACTGAACTGATTTTTGCTTTTCTCTAGCAGTAACCAAAGTGCTCAGGTGAGCATTGTAGCCCATTGGACCTCTTGTTTTATTTTCATTTTTAAGGTGTAATAAAAAATATGTTTGTTCATGGTTACCCGACAGACCCTATATTTAATCGCTGACCCAATTTTTTTTCCGTCGGAAAAATCTGGAAGTCACTCGCCGGTCAGTTTAACTTTTACATGCATCTTAATCGGTCAAGCGTCTGAAATTGAAAGTACTAGAAACAAAATGGCGTGTTTAATATCTACATCAACATGTTCATGTCTATCGCCCATATGGCAAGCTGAAACAAAAGTAAAGCACCACACAATGGTAAAGCTGTTTTGCATTTCAACTAATTCGTATGAATATGTGATTAAAAAAATCAATAAAATTTTTTTTAAAAATCCTACCTAATGACCCTATTTTATTTCAGCATGTAACAGTAAACAAACATATTTTTTTGTTACGCCTAACTTGTGCATTAAAATGGTTCTGACATGTTTTACAAAATGATACCTCAAGTGAAGAACATATGCTTAACATAAATACAAGTTTCTCTGAAAAGGAGAATTCTTGGCATACTTTTCCTCTCAAAGCTGAACAATTTGTCTATTTTCGTGTTTCATTCTGTTTCATGCCAATCATATTCTATCAGTGTTGAAAATGTTAACTTTTTAGCTCACCCGAGCCGAAGATTCAAGTGAGCTTTTCTGATCACATTTTGTCCGCCGTCCGTCTGTCTGTCTGTCCGTCTGTCCGTCTGTCTGTAAACTTTTCACATTTTCGACTTCTTCTCCAGAACCACTGGGCCAATTTCAACCAAACTTGCCACAAAGCATCTTTGGGTAAAGGGGATTCAAGTTTGTTCAAATGAAGGGTCACACCCTCTTTCAAGGGGAGATAATTAAGAATTAGTGAAAATTTGGTGGTATCTTTTAAAAATCTTCTTCTCAAGAACCACTGGGCTGTAAAAGTTGAAACTTATGTGAGACCTTCATTACATAGTGTAGATTCAAGTTTGTACAAACCATGACCCCCTGGGGTAGGGTGGGGCCACAATGGGGGATCAAAGTTTTACATAGGAATATATAGGAATAAATCTTTAAAAATCTTCTCCTCAAGAACAACTAAGCCTCGATTAGTCATATTGATATGGAATCATCCTCAGGTAGTGTAGATTTAAGTTTGTTCAAATCATGACCCCCAGGGGTAGGGTGGGGCCACAATTGGGGATCAAAGTTTTACATAGGAATATATAGAAAAAAATATTTAAAAATCTTCTTCTCTAGAACAACAAAGCCACAATTAGTCATATTGATATGGAATCATCCTCAGGTAGTGCAGATTCAAGTTTGTTCAAATCATGACCCCCTGGGGTAGGTTGGGGCCACAATGGGGAATTGAAGTTTTACATAGGAACATAAAGAAAAAAATCTTTAAAAATCTTCTCCTCAAGAACAACTAAGCCTCGATTAGTCATATTGATATGGAATCATCCTCAGGTAGTGTAGATTTAAGTTTGTTCAAATCATGACCCCCGGGGGTAGGGTGGGGCCACAATGGGGGATCAAAGTTTTACATAGAAATATATAGGAAAAATCTTGAAAATTGTTTTTCTCAAAAACAACAAAGCCACAATTAGTCATATTGATATGGAATCATCTTCAGGTAGTGTAGATTCAAGTTTGTACAAATCATAACCGGGGGGGGGGGGGGGTAAGGGGGGGCCACAATGGGGGATCAAAATTTTACATAGGAATTTATAGAAAAAAAATCTTCAAAAATCTTTTTCTCAAGAACAACAAAGCCACAATTAGTCATATTGATAAGGAATCATCCTCAGTAGTGTAGATTAAAGTTTGTACAAATCATGACTCCCAGGGGTAGGGTGGGGTCACAATGGGGGATCAAAGTTTTAAATAGAAATATATAGAAATAATCTTTAAAAATCTTCTTCTCAAGAACAACGAAGTCACAATTAGTCATATTGATGTGGATTCATCCTCAGGTAGTGCAGATTCAAGTTTGTATCAAGTCATGCCCCCTTGGGGGTAGGGTGGGGCCACAATGGGCAATCGAAGTTTTACATATGTAAATATGTATATTCCTATAGGAATATACAGAAAAAAAACTTGAAAAATCTTCTTCTCAAGAACAGCAAAGCCTTGTTAAGTCATATTGATGTGGAAGCATTCTCAGATAGTGTAAATTTAATTTTGTTCAAATCATGACCCCCAGGGTTAGGGTGGGGCAACAGTGGGGGATAAAAGTTTTACATAGGAATATATAGGAAAAAACTTTAAAAATCTTCTTCTCAAGAACAGCAAAGTCATGTTTTGTCATATTGATATGGAAGCATCCTCAGATAGTGTAGATTCAAGTTTGTTCAAATCATGACCCCTGGAGGTAGGGTGGGGCCACAATGGGTGATCATAGTTTTACAAAGGAATATATAGGGAAAAAACTTGAAAAATCTTCTTCTCAGGAACAGCAAAGCCATGTTTTGTCATATCGATATGGAAGCATCCTCAGGTAGTGTAGATTCAAGTTTGTTCAAATCATGACCCCTGGGGGTAGGGTGGGGCCACAATGAGGGATCATAGTTTTACATAGGAATATATAGGAAAAAATCTTTTCGACAACAGAAAAGCCATGTTTAGTCATATTGATATGGAAGCATTCTCAGGTAGTGTAGATTCAAGTTTGTTCAAATTTTTTTTTTGGGGGGGGGGGGGGTAGGGAGGGAGGGTCCACAATGGGGGATCAAATTTTTAACAAGGGAATGTATGGGGAAAAAATCTTTAAAAATCTTCTGCTCAAGAACAGCAAAGCCATTTGTTATATTGATATGGAAGCATCCTCAGGTAGTTCAAAATCCAAGCCCCCCTCCCCCCCCTTTAAACTTTTCAATACTGAAGTGATTTGTGCTTTTTCCTAGCCAATGTGCTCAGGTGAGCGATATGGCCCATGGGCCTCTTGTTAAAATTAGAATAAATTTACTGGTACTTGGATACCCATTTACCTATACATGTATATACTGAAAAGAATATTTAATAATCACTAACTTTTTTCAGTATGAAACGAGGAAAAATAAACGTCCAAAGAACAAGTTTACAGTGGAAGAGGTAAGGAAAGGAGTAGATGAAAACAAACATGTAATACTGTATGTTTAATTGAATCAGAACTTTATCCCAAAATAAAAGTGAAATGCAGGCACATTATCTATATACAAGTCCTTTTCAATGTGCACAGAATTTTACAAGGAAAAATAACCATGAACATTTAGAAGAATTGCAAAATTTCATGCTTTATATCCAAACCATTTATGTTGAATAACCAAAGAAGTACTTGTTAATATTTTACTTATACAAATATATCATTGTTTTTAGTTCATAGCCAACCAGGAAAGTGACAAAAGAGAAAAGAGAGACAAAAAGAGCAAAAGGAAGAGGTCTCCCTCCCCCAGCCCTGCCCCTTCATCAGAGAAAAAGAAGAGAAAGAGGTAACTTTTACTTTTGATGGGTCTAGCTGAAAATAGGGTAAGGTCCCTTTTCTCCCCAGGAATTTTTTCTATGACTATTTATATGCCTTACATTAAGCCTTTGCTGTCATTCTTAGTTGTTTTTCCATGCCAGTATGTAAATATATGTAAAGAGTTTTACACCATATTTCACTGTGATTTTTTTTTTTTTCAAATTTGTAGGGAATTTATACAGCAGTGAACATGACCATGTTTTTATTTATCTTTTTATTATATATTTTTTTAATGGTAAATTTATGATAATAATTTTCAAGATGTTTCAGTGAAATTTTTAAAATGAGTATCAAGTAATGGTAAGACACTTCTTGAATGCAAAAGCTTCTGCGCATTTGATTAGTGATAGCAACAAGTTATATTTAGCAGTTATTATAAATTATTGTTATATATCTAGATGCAAAAATGTTATTTGGAAATTTTTAGCATAAACATTAGCACTGTAATTTTCTGAAGATAGTCTTGCAGTTGTCTTTTAGATTTCTCTGTGAAAAAGTTTTCTATTTTTTAGTTTTTGAGTTTTATGAAGCTTGAGCCAGATCTCTATTATAATATTCCAATTTTAGCACAAGAACCCCAGGAGGACCAGGAAATTCCAAAAAGAGGCTGAACAAAGAGGATACAGATGATGACCTCACGAGGGACATGGATGATCCCCTCCCAGAAACCAACATCCAGGAGGTTCAGCTCTCCAAACAGTGTAAGCTCTCATAAAGTAGATAAAGATCTAAGAATCTCAAAACTACAACTTATAATGCTTCAACCAAAATAGCATCAGATCACTTTATTTCAAGCATGTGTAAAGTGCATTTTGTTTTGTTTTGTTTATATAGCCAGCAGTAACCGTAGTAACAAGGACAGTGAAAACCAGCCAATCAAAGGAGGGATGATTATGGACATGGATGAAGAAGCCAATGACAAGGTATTTTAAAACAGTGTTAAAATGACAAAAATTGTGAATGTATTATTCAACAATCATATCCTGAGAAAATATGGAAAGGTCAGGAACATTGCTTGGACACTGACTGTTTTTATTTTGTACTTTAGGTAAGGGGGAAAATGGAAAAAAAATATGGTTGAAATTTTATGAAGAAATACTGTAAATCACTTTCTATTAGCGAGAACTTTATTTTTTCTCTTTGTGAAAATTCCATTTTTTGCGCATATATTTGTATTAGTTAGAATTACACGTATAGTCAACAAAAACCATAGCTCGCTATGAAAAATTTTGTCTCGCTTATAAATACCAAATATCTATCTCATGAAAATAAGGTGTCAGGAAAATATAGTGATCTACAGTAACCAAGAGAGAAGGGGGACTAGAATCAACAATCAAAATTTCGAGAATCCTGAAATTAAACAAATCAAGTTCGTTGAGAATGAAAGAAAATTTCATTTTAATGTGATAGGCATAGAGTATGAGCATGGACCAAGACTAAATATCTTTGTCAATGTTATCCTAGCAATGTATGATGAAAAAAATAGAATTGGAGAAAGGTGTAATTATTTAATCTTGTATTATTTCTTATTAGCTTATTGGTGAAGATAGAGGTGATGAAGAGGGAATGGATGAAGACACCAAGCGAGAGAAAGAGGAGGAGGACACAGTGACAGAACAGACCCACCACATCATCATACCCAGCTACTCGGCCTGGTTTGACTATAATGCCATTCACGCGATTGAGAGGCGGGCATTACCAGAATTCTTCAATGCCAAGAACAAGTCTAAAACACCAGAGATGTAAGTCACCAAGAAATTCTATTTTACTACATTTGTGGTAATGAATGATATACAAAGATAGATAATATTAGGTTTTAGTGACTATGGAGGACATACATTTTAAACTGTCTATAATGTTTTGCAGATATCTAGCTTACAGAAACTTCATGTTAGATACATACAGACTTAACCCCACAGAGTACTTAACAAGTACAGCATGTCGGAGGAATCTGGCAGGGGATGTTTGTGCCATTATGAGGTGAGTTCTAGACAGGAAGTACAAAAATCCGATGAAAAACAGTTTACAGTATTATTTTTAAAAATGTATATATCTGAAGGGGCAAAATTAAAAAAAAAAAGAAAAATAGATGAAACCAAAATGAATATCTTTTATAAGTACATTAAAATTCATAAAAGATATTCATTTTGGTATTCATTAAGTACATTAAAACTCAATTATAGTGGAGTCCTGGGGACCTGCAAATTTACTTTACACTTTATCCATATTTACATGTAGTTATATCCATTTAACAAATTCACTAAAGTATATATAACTTACTCGCATTATAGATTTTTTCCTTCAAGTAGGACAACCAAATAAATTTTGGGAATTTTTGTGGGACACAAAATCAATGAACTAGATTATCTGAGTTTGCTATATCCCTAAAATTTTACCAAGAATTGAGAATTTTGCTGGGGGTTAAAAATACTCAGCTGTTTAACAAGTTTAAACATATTTACATGTATGTTTTTAATGAATCTGTACTTTGTTTGATTTACAGAGTTCATGCATTCTTAGAGCAGTGGGGTCTGATTAACTATCAGGTAGATGTGGACAACAGAGCTACAGCCATGGGACCACCACCCACCTCTCACTTCCACATCATGGCAGACACCCCCTCAGGGCTACAGCCTGTAAACCCACCTAAAATTAACCAGGTACTATAAACTATTCCTGTATATCAGGGCTACAGCCTGTAAACCCACCTAAAATTAACCAGGTACTGTAAACTATTCCTGTATATCAGGGCTACAGTCTGTAAACCCACCTAAAATTAACCAGGTATTGTAAACTATTCCTGTATATCAGGGCTACACCTGTAAACCCACCTAAAATTAACCAGGTATTGTAAACTATTCCTGTATATCAGGGCTATAGCCTGTCAACCCACTTAAAATTAACCAGATGCACTGTTTATGTATATCAAGAAGACCATATAAGGTCTACATTTGATATTTTTAAGTGTGTATTCATACTTGCTTTGGTTTTGCTACATACAAGAGTGCTGTAAAATGATCACTTACCTCCATTCTAGCCCTCTGCAGCCAAACAGATTGTTTGTTTTGATGACAAAGACAAAGAAAGAGAAACAAGCGAAGGTAGAGAGTTGTCAGACTTTAGTCTACGCATGGATATGTATGCCAAAAAAGCATTGAAGGTGAGAGTATGATAAATTATAAACATTTTCAGCTTGAAAAAAAGGCTGATGAAAGAATACTGCAGAACCCTGTGTGACTTGGCGTGTTTCCTAATTAGTGATTTGTTTATGTGTTAATATTATAGGACAAGGGAGCAGCAACTCGTTCTCGTGAATGGACAGACCAGGAAACATTACTTCTACTAGAGGGATTAGAAATGTACAAAGATGATTGGAACAAAGTCAGTGAACATGTGGGGAGTCGTACACAGGATGAGTGCATACTACACTTTCTCCGCTTGCCCATTGAAGATCCATTCCTAGAGGAAAGTGACTTCAGTCATGCAGGTTCATACAGCATGATCATATTGGATTGCATCTGCTAATATACTGTTATATTTTTAGTGTCATTATTACTTTTCATTTGTGTTGTTTCTTGTGTGTGTTTTTGTTTTTAAATATTACCTAAGCTAAACAAATCAGTAGTTATTTGCTGCTGTGTCTCAGCTCTACTTAATCTTTTTACAGGACCTTTAGCGTACCAACCTGTTCCTTTCTCTCAGACTGGAAACCCCATCATGTCTACGGTAGCCTTTCTGGCTTCTGTTGTAGATCCCAGGGTTGCTGGTGCAGCTGCTAAGTCAGCTCTAGGTAAGACATCAGATGTAGAGGTTCATATAGAGGAAGATACAGGAAATGAGAGTATATCTACATTGTATGTGAAGAAAAGGATAAATTTACTTGTATATGTGCAAAGAAAACAGCTGTTTCAGTGAAAATTGGGATTTTTTTTATCTAGCAGAAAAATATGTACACATGTTTAGTCACCACCTATAATGTACATGTACAGTATGTTTTGATACTTGTACTTGTAAGTTACGAATTACCTTTCTTTGACAAGGAAATGTCATTGTTTAGTCACCAAAGTTGTACATGTTTGACATTGTATTATTTAGAGGAGTTCTCAAAGATGAAGGATGAGGTCCCTCCTGCTCTGACTGATGCCCATGTCAAGATGGCAGAGGACGCCCACAAGGAAGGAAAATCTGTGGATGTAGAGTTTGGGCTTGAGAAAAGTGGAATCGCAGGCACGGCTCCAGAGAAAGAGGAGGGTATGATGACTGTGTCAGATTCTATCAGGAATATTCCTCAAAAAAAAAAAAACGTGAAAGATTTCTCAATTCATAGAGTGGTGAGTGAATACTTGTGACATCATTGATTGTATGTTTACAGAAGAGCCTTCAAAAGAGGAGGAAGAAAAGAAAGATGAAGAAAAGTCAGATGAAAAGAAGGAAGAGGACAAGGAAGAAAAGGTCATTACATGTGTAATCTTTATGAACATTAAAAGAACCCCTCTCCTGGGAGGATATTTAAAATCTTTGTGTGGTTTATTTATAGAAAGAGGAGGCCATGGAGACTGATGCCAAGGAGAATGAAGAAAAGAAAGAAGTGAAGAAGGAGGAGAAAGAAAGTGAACAAGAAAATGCTGAGGTGAGTGGAGGAATGGAGGTTATTGAGCTATCATGTTTATTTCTCATAGTAAAATTAATAGCATTTTTTCAGTGAATGGGCAGGGCTTGCATCATCGTCCCATCGAGTGAAAAAATTGTGCATTAAATGTGCATTCAGTTTTTTAGAGTAGTTGAGTGTTCTTGTTTGTTGAAAATGTTTTGCATACAACTTTCCTAATTGTCTTACCTTCATTTTATATATATTCATTTTATTTTAATGAGTTTCATAGGTTAAAAACCTGTCAAATAAAGATAGACTACCAATGAACTGTTTCCTGTCTATAATGTACTTAAGAATAAAGAAGGTGCTATATCTCACTGATTTATTATGCTCAATCAAAAGTTTGACCTTATTTATCCAAAAAAATGGGCATTACATATTGTATATGCATTCCTTTAAATGTGCTGCACATCATACATGTGAAAAATACTGATACACACGTCTTATCATACTGATATTTACAGAACATGGATAGAGATGTTACATGTAAATACATGTAGATGTACTTATCAAATATTTATGTAATTCATAACTTTTAATCAGCAAACTAAACCAGAGACGGATGTAAAAGAGGAGACCGAGGAGAAGAAAGCCGAGGACCAGAAGGAGACGGAGGAACAGATCAAGGAGAAGACTGCCCTGGCGGTGGCTAAAATCCCCATCAAACCTGACGGCAATGTGGCCACTGCTGCCGCAGCTGCTCTGGCATCAGCTGCCGTTAAAGCCAAGGTAATGAGCATAGCAGGAAATTTCATAAGGATGATTATGTAAAAATGTTATGATTCACATGATAATGATAAAAATTGTCTTTCTGTTTTCCTCTTCTTGCATTTCTTCTTTTTCTATACTGGACATACAAGGAGTCAATTGTTACTCTTTTGTTTCAGCATCTAGCAGCTGTTGAAGAAAGAAAGATTAAGAGTTTGGTGGCTTTACTAGTGGAGACACAGATGAAGAAATTGGAGATTAAGTTACGTCACTTTGAGGAATTAGAGGCTATTATGGACAGGGAAAGAGATGCAGTATGTAGCTTTTGGATTATTGGGTAGATGTCTGTAGTGTGCATATGTGCTCCAGTAACAGTTATTTTACCAAAATTCTCTATTTATAGTTGGAGTACCAAAGACAGCAGCTTCTCCAAGAAAGACAGCAGTTCCACATGGAGCAGATTAAAGCTGCTGAACACCGTGCTAGACAGATGGCCATGCAGCAGATGGTGACAGAACAGCGACAGCAGAACATGGCAGGAGGGGACCAAGGTAAGAGGGAACCAGCAAGTCACTTGTCACAAAATACAAATAAATTTTTGTTAATCAGATGTATAACATGTACATGTACTTGCTCAAACAATTTGGCACCTGGGCATGCAGTAATGAATTTCGTCCTACTCTGACCATGTGTTGTCAAAAGCAAAAGGTTTTGAAAGCAATGTACAGTATAGCCATTCGAATTTTAATGTGTGATGAAAATGACTCTTTGCTTTATTTTTCTAGTTTTCTGTAGTTAAGATAAACTGAGTACTGTAGTTTGTTATTCAAAGTGATATTATTTTGTCTTTGGCAGTGATGTTTCAATAAATATTTGATGGTTGAAGTTAATTCAGGAAGTCATTTTATTTTTGCATTATCGCATGTGTCATTCTTGTAGCTTCTGCTGTGGGACACAGCATGGCTCCTAACCCCTCCCTAGCTGCAGCAGTGGGACAGAGTTATCCACTTTCTGGGTCACCAATGCCCCCACAAGGTCCACAGGCTACCCAGGGATCTCCAGCTCCTCCCCCTCCTTCACAGACTACACTGCCACCCCCTACCCAGTCTGTCCCCAACAGCTCAGCAGATGGGGACTCATCAGGTGAGAACACATTTATCATTAAATTAAAACTCCTCCCTTTATGTAAAGTATTTATGAATGGAAAGAATTTTTTCATCAGTAGAAAGAAATTTAAAATTTTTCTTTTACCCCCTTATAAAAAATAAATAAATAAATAAATACAGTATTCAAGGTGAAAAAGTGTTCGAAGTTTTTCTCGAAAATGGATTATAATGTTTAACAAATCTTTTCTTCAAGGAATTAAAAAAAAATTATCAGGTGAATGATATATTTTGTATTTTATGTAGGGACCACCACATCCAATGAGATGCAAGCAGAACCAATGGCAACAGACCCTCCACAGTCCACGGCTATTCCTCCCTCACAAACCATGATTGGAAACAGTCCAGTCTCTTAACATTACTGAAATCATTGTCATCCTTTCAAATCATCATCGATCACAAGCTTTGTTTTCTTCAGAAGACTGCTGTACTTCATAAATCAATGTGTGGCATATTGTGTTGTTGACAAAGGAAGGTGCTTAGCATACAGACTCTATGTGGACGAGGTCGTACAAATGTTGTGTTCTCGTGCTGTTCTCATCCCAGACTTTGTTGTTTATCATGTGAATCTCTGTATCAGTGGAGCATTTACCTATTTTGTAGTATGATGTAATAAATTTTATGTCTATCAGAAAATGTCTTCATTTTTAGGTCATCTGAGTCACATCTTCTTTGGAACTGCTAAACCAATTTGAACCCATTTTTATATGCCCACCTTAAGACGGAGGTATATGGTATAGTGTTCTTGTGAGTCGATCTCTCTCTTATTTTTTTTGTTTCTGGCTCTTAACTTAAATACTAAGAGACCTAGAATAATCAGACTTTGTCAGCTGATACATCTTAGAAGGCGTGTCGCACATTAAAAGTAGGTCGCTGTGACTTATCTCGTACATACAACATAGTATCTTATCTCATACGTACGACATAGTATCTTGTACATACGACTTAGTACCTCGTATGTACGACTTAGTATCTCGTACATGTACGTGCGACATATTAGAGAGGTTAAGCAGATGACCGTGTACGTCTACGTGTACATGTAGCTAGGGAAATCCCCAAATTTACTGCGATTTACGTCATCAGTTTTGCATAGCGCGTAATTCTACAAGTTGTACACAACGTGTAGATTCATATGTACAAGTAGGAAAGAACATGTAGCTTCTTAAACCCAAATTATAGAATGTATATTTTTCAGGCGGTGTTTGTCGTGATATTGAGAGTTTATTACGTACATCTATGTATCTTTTTTAATCAAAGTCATAGAATTATTTGATACAAATGGATTGTAAAGTGACTTGAAATGACGTTTTACACGTATCGCTACACGTACAGATTGTTAAACAGAACACGATGTTAGTTACGTGTACTTGTAAAACACTACGTACACGTAGACGCACACTGTCAAATGCTTAACCTCTCAATTATCTCGTACGTACTACTTAGTATCTCGTATGTACGACTTAGAATATTTTTTTTTCAATTGGCAGCAAAATGCTTCCGTACATATTTAATAATTTTAGATATTTGTTGCATTTGTCTTCGAATCAAATAATCTTACGATGATACATTCCTAGATATCCTTTATCGTGCGCAGTCTGATTTTTATTTGCATGAATTTATTTATTTTGATTAATATTTAACAATTGATCACCGAAAATTAAAGTGTAAAATAAATGCACAGAAAATTAAGGCAAATGTACAGTTTGCAATAAAAATGTATCATATAAATTATACTTTTTCTATACTTTTATTTTTTTCTTTGGACTCTTTCTTGGAAATACTTTAAAATGCTTAATATATTTTTTGCGGCCAATTTGATGCTTTAGTTCATATATATAGGCAAAACTATTGGGGGAGGGCGATCCCCCTCCCCACTTCTTACGGTCATGAATATAACGTTAAAATGCAATTGATTAATCGACAAATATTTCAGATGAACGAAAACTTCATTAATTCTAGTTGTGTATGCAACATTCAAAACGGCAGCCGTTGCCAAGGAAACAGAGGAAGGTCAGTTGGGGTTGACACGCGTTATTGCTCTTTAGTTCTAATGTCACCAGTGTGATATCTGCAAAAAGTAAAAAGAGAAAGCAACTGGAATAACATATCGTGTGTGTGATATGGCAAATTCTAGGCTTTGGACAGTGACATGTAATAATTATTTTTTTTGGGGGGGGGGGGGGGAGGAGTTGGCCCCCTACTTTTGAAACCGTTGCTAAGGGCCTGTCTTGATAAGGCCTATGAAATAATCTTGAAACTTTTCAATGCGTATATTGTTTTGTACGGAATCTCATTTTGGACCTATCAAATATGTTTAACAAATTTGTTGTTTTCATTTTAATTAACGAATTCAAAAATTTCTTCTAATGAATTAAATTCGTTTAATTATTAATTTGATATAAGAAACTCGTTTAAACTGTTCAAAAAATTTCGTTATATCGAATTGATTTTTTTTTTTGATAGGTCCTACATAGAGTAAGCTTTCGTATAAAAGGACTTCCGTACAAGGGACACATTTTTATATTTAAAGAAAATGGTAGGGTTTTGGCTTTATTGTGCCCTAAAAATTTACTGTTTTCAAAAAAGTTTTGAAACTGGCTTAGATATGAGTTGAGTATATGACTGTGATAAATCAAGAAAAAAATGTGGCATGAATGAGGACCATTCTGGAAAAATGAAATCATTAATTTGATGCATTTCTCCGTTTTAAATAGAAAAAGCCTCAAAATGACTAATTTCAAGGGGTATTTTCCTGAAGAAAATAGTGTCCACAGATGTCGCCCACTTCAATTTTTGGACATGTTATGTAAAAAATTCTTTGCAAAATCATATATCTCAAAATCTTTGTGGGCGATGCATGTGGTCTATATTATCTGAAAGAAAATTCCATTGAAAATCGATGTCTTCTGCAAGTTTTTAAGAAAATAAGGGAAAATGCACAAGTTCATGACGTCACAATTAGCCTATAAAAGGTCATGTGAGAAAATTATTTGCATGATCTTTCTGCATGGAATTTCAATGATTCAGAAAGCATAAGTTTCGATTTTTTAAATCACTTTCATATTTTAGAAAAATACAGGGCAAGATTTGTATTGAAACCGTACATTGTTCTTTCTTATTTGGGTTGAAGATTACTATAGTTTGCAATAAGTAGAATAATCTATAAAATAATTTAAAATACAGTAATAATTTAAAATACTAACTTACTAAAGTTTGTGTCAATTTGAAGGAAATGTGGAATTATTTAATCAGAAGTTTGTTTTCATGATTAAATATATCATACATGTACATACATAAAAATGATATATAATTCATAGTATTATTTCAAAAGCCCCTTCTTATTTTAATAATATGTTTTAAATAAATTGGTTTGATTATTCACTGCATCAAGGTAAGGAACTCTGTACATCGATATTTTTTTTTATATTTTTGAATGATATTTCCTATTTACGAAAGCCGGATAGGCTCATTTTTGACAAGGTAAAAAAAAAAAAAAAACTCGTTATAACGAGATAGTTATCTCGTTATAACGAGTTAGTTATCTCGATACTAACTCGTTATAACGAGATAATTATCTCGTTATAACGAGTTAAATATTTTTTTTGTCTTGTCAAAAATGAGCCTATCCGGCTTTCGTACCTATTTACTAAATAAACTGAAATAAAATAAAATGCACACTCATATACATGTAATTAACTGAATGCAGTACCACGCGGACTCATTGTTATTCGTAAAATTCAACACACAGTCTGACAATCAATAGGCCAAACATGTCAATCTATTACAATCTTGGCATAATGATTTTGCCTTACCTAATTACATAAAACGGAATCCAACATGTGCACTCGACCTTTGACAATTGATGGAGAGATTAACAACGGGGCATGTTCCAGCATGGGTATTCTTCTATTAGCAGTAAATAAGAACTAAACAAGATCGGGAATAAATAAAGCGACATAATCAGGAATTGTTGACATTTCCAAATTGAAATAATGGGTTGTTTATTTTTCCGGAGGGGGAAGTTTTAGACTATTTTCTTCGAAGTTAGTTCTGTGTGACGTAGGTAGAAATACAGCCTTCAGATCTAACAAAAAACGTTTACAAATAAGGCGTGATGCATCCATATGGAAAAGGTTATTACGAGGGAATTGCCCCCGGATAACTCAGTCTTTTAACTCCTTAAGTGACCCTAAACAGATCATCATGTAATTATTTCGGTAAATGACACATATGATCGACGATCTCCTTTATAGAATTTGGGTACAAATATGATTTACTTTCCGACAGGACAGTCCGTTTTGTTTGTTAACATAGAAATTGTATTTCTGATTTTGGGCATTTCGATAAAAATCAAGCATAAGAGATGCTTCCGTGCTATAACCTGAGCAACTTCAATTACACTATACTGTTTCATACATTTCACATTCAAGTCCTGTTAAAATGGCTATTCTTATGTGTGGAGGTGCGCGGGAATGGGACACCCTCCCACCTTCATTTGTTCTCCTTCATAATATCAGTAAGGTTCATATGTGGTCCTTTAGGAATACGCCATACTTCGTACATGTACTTCATATTTTATTACATATGTCATAGGAAATAAATACGTAAAATAACTTGAACAGCAGTAGGGGGTGGCTGGTGGTGGCGGCCGGTGTTGTGCAGAATCACTGTATGGAGGAATTTTTCTCTCAGTGTTAGCTTTTGCAATCTTCACACGTTTTCAATATCCTAGCTATCTCCTTTCAGGAAAAAAAAATCGTGGAGGAGGACGGTTAAGTCGACACAAACACATAATTGGACGAACAAACAAATACAGTGTAGTAAAAACTGAGGATAAAATTTTCCTTATAAATAATTTTCTGGGATTTTTTTTTTATAGTTTGTTTGTTTTTTTGTTTACTTCGAGAAATTTCCATTGCCGATGGAAGCCAAGGCTGCAAAAGACCTGTACTGTGTGTACTCGGCACGTTTGAGGAGTGAGGAATCTTTTTCGTGCATGCCAGCACTTACTGCTACACGGGAACTCGGTTTATGCGATTTCATCAGAAGAAACCGGTCTCCGTGGGATTCGATCCCGCGACTTTAAACTGGATTTTAAACTCGTAAGTGACCAAACGCTCTCATCACTGTGCCACTTGGGCGACCTTTTCTGGGTTGAGCGGAAGGCAAAGATACTCCCCTCGCTGCTCTTATGTTCTATATACAGATGAATACTGTAGCTCTTATGTTCTATATATATATAGATGTTATGTTCTATATATAGATGTATACTGTAAATGTGATAATGTAAATGTTCAATTCTTATTATAGTATTAAAGATTTTATTTGAAATTATTCACTTCTAGCAAGTCAGTATATTTGATCATCTCCATAACTAGAGCATTTATTCCCTGCCAATTGCAAGATTTTACTTTTAACAATAGCCCCAAGGAACACTAGCATTAACCCATGACTTAAAACAAACCTTTCAAATCTTTCATTAAGTGATGGAAAAAAATACTGTAAGTTCCTCATGGTTCATATTGCAAACAAGATTTAAGGGGGGCCGACCCTCTGATAAGAGAGGTAACTTTCCAAGTAAAATATACGAAAACAATTCATAGTTTTCATTATCAGAGTTTCATTATCTAGACCTT